TTTTTTAACATTTTCTAATGGTGGTGTGCCTCGTGATTTTTTTCATGAAAAAAGTGTGCCTTTGCACAAAAAAGGTTGAAAAACACTGCTTTAGGAGACTCTCAGAGTGATCCTGGGGGCTGGGGAGGGCAGAAATGAGTGAAAAATGGGCCGCTTTTTGCTCAATTCCCCCCCCCAGCCCCCAGGAGCACTGTAAGCCTCCTAAAGGCTATGCATGGCCATTTTTTTAGGGCGGGGGGGAAGGGGCCCATTTTCACGAACGGGTTGTTTTTCAGAGATCTGCAGAGTGCAAAAAATTTTTTTTAAAAATGTGCCTCTTCAAAATCTTGGTGCTATTCTCCGGTGCGTCTTATACTCGAAAAAAATACGGTAGCCTTAGCGTTGCTGTGGAGTTGATTCGTGGTCTGGACTCCCTGATGGATTGGACGCTGCCCTGGGTAGTTCCATGTGCTGTGTGAAAGCTGTTGAGACCACAGCTTTGATGGCGTATCCTGTATGAACCTAGTCAGTTGTGGTTTATTCAGTAGACCGTGCTTAACCCACGGCGGAAGGTCAGCTTTAGGAATTGGAGCTGGAAAGTTGACAATCCCACCTGTGCTCCTCTGGTTCATTTTACTGCATATTTGTGGCTCAAGAGTGGACATGTCCAAAGTTTACTGAGGTCCTTTGGCACTTTGGTTTGAATGTAAGGCTGGGTTTGATACCCTCGGATAAGTAAGTCTATCCATGGGTAAAGAGGAACCATACGTGGCCCACTGTTAAGAAAGAGGTCATTTATGGTAGTAGTGAAGTGTTCTTTCTAGGTCAGGGATGTCAAACTCAAGGTGCTTAGATCTGGTCCACAGGACCGTCCTGGAAACAGCAAAAGACCAACCCGTGGTGTCTCTGCCAGCAAAAACGGAGCTCACATGGCCCTTCTGAACTCCGTTTTTGGCTGCAACGGCCTCCTGCAGCCCTCTGCCAGTGAAAACACAGCTCGTGAGGGCTGTGTGTGGCCCTCCCGAGCTCCATTTTCGGCTGCAATGGCCTCCTGCAGCCTCTGTCAGTGAAAACGGAGCTCGGGAGGGCTGCAGGACATTAAGATGGCCACGGCCACCTCACCATACCCACTGACCCCCCCCCCAAGGTCAAACACAACCCTGATACGGCCCTTAATGAAATTGAGTTTGACACCCCTGTTCTAGATCATCAGAACGTAAGCGGTGTCTTGTTGGCTTGGACACCTGGTCCATCTATTTCAACATCTGTTGGCACGTTGACCAGCCAATTGCCGGCAAAGTCCACTAACTTCATAGAACAAGAGTCGGCAATCTTAAACACTCAAAGAGCCACAAAGGTCCTAACCGGAAGCCCCCCCCACCTCCATTCAATTCTGAAGCCGACCAGAATTCCGGTTTCCCCACCATAGAGTCTCTTCCTAGTGTGGCGTCCTTTTTCCTCTACCTGTCCTAACCGAAAGCCCTATCAATTGTGGAGCTGACCAGCGACAGG